AAACGGGAGCTGGAAGCATGTAAATATAATAATAACCACTGCAGCCAAGAAGAGTGCCTGACGAGCCCAGCTGTAAGTAAGCTATTAAGACTCGACTGTACACCGTGTTCGTGTTTTCCTCCGAAACAATAAGTTCCGTTGGAGCAGCGTTTCAACGCCTCTCCACACAACAAAGTAAAGCTATTTTTCGGCTACAGCCCAACATGCGACCTGACGTATTAGCCAGAGGTCTCTTTACTACGGTTCGGACCTTCAGTAACAGTAATAAATCACAGCAATAGTGCATTCACGTAGTTGTAAAAAGCATGATAATATATTAAGTTATCCAAAGTATTCAGAATACGTTACTGTCATTGAGTAACGTAACGGAATATGTTACAGAATACATTTTGGGGCATGTATTCTGTAATCTGTAATGGAATACATTTTAAAAGTAACCTTCCCAACACTGGGAACTGTTAGCAAACAACGATTTTTGATTATCTGTTAGTCAACTGTGAGAAATTATATCAGTCAATGTAATAACATAATGAGCTATATGGATCTGACCAAAACATATATCATACATACATATCACACAACACCAAAGCTAGCCCAGCCAATGGCTTAAAAGAAAACTTGTGTTTAGCTGGCTAACATTACAATCGAATGTTACAAGCTTAGAGGAATTAAGTCTAGTTAGCTACAAAGTCATATAAAACAACAAGTTTGCTTAGCTGGACAAAATATCAAAAGTTGCTATGTTATAGGATTCTTTTTTTCCCTTTTAGTTGAAAAGCTAATGCTATCCTGTTGTTGGAAACACACTGCCCATTACTCATACCTTTAGGGATTATCCACATTCACAAACTGTTATAAAATGGTCAAAGTAGATATTTGGATATTTGACTTGTCAGTCCATCTTTTATATACAGATTATGCTTCCTGCCATCAAGGCTAGAAAGAATGAATACTTTAAAAATATTTCTGCTTCTCGATCACCTCGCCAGCTGTCTATTCATTCTCTGAGTATTCTGCAAACAATCGTGTTTTTGCCAAAATGTGGATGTGGCTGAATGCACTTCTACTGGCACCATTTCAAGAAGAGAAATTGTGCAATATTGTAACTGGGAATGTATCTGTATTTATTCAAACAGCATATGTATTTTGGAACTGTGTGCGTGTGTGTGTGTGTGTGTGTGTGTGTGTGTGTGTGTGTGTGTTGTGAGACAGCAGAGAGTTGGATTATATTTGCTCAGTTTTTGGGGTGAAGCATTCCTGCTACATGGCTCATTAAGCAGCCACCTGTTTTAACGTTCTTAATTTGAAAGAGTCCATTGACCTGTCATCTGTATCATGCTTCCCCTCTTCTACAGGCACGTCAATAATCCAGGTCACAGCCAGAGATGCTGATGATCCAACATATGGAAACAGCGCTCGGCTGGTGTATGCCATTACTCACGGCCAGGACTTTTTCTCTGTGGACCCTCAGACAGGTCTGTGATATCTTCCAAAGTGCGGCTCAACCTTTTTAAAAGCTGTTTCATAACCTGACTCTTCTGCTGATGTTTACACTTCACATAGCTAATGCCGGCACTGCTCTCACTGTATATATTGTGCGCCGTATCCCTTTCCACCTTATGTCCAGTATGGATATAAACATTTGCATGTTCCTGCATTTTCCGTGATCTATTCAGAAACAGAAGTGGCCTGAAGTTACATGCGTGCAGCTTCCTAATTCTAAAATATGTGCATCTGACTCGCGCTGATGGTAATTCAAAGAGGCACGGTGTCACTGTGAAATCTGTTGCTGTTTTGATTTTGTTGCTGCATGTCCTGCTCTCCTCTCTCCACCAGGCATTTTGCGGACGGCGGTACCTGACATGGACAGAGAGACTCAGGATGAGTATCTGGTCGTCCTCCAGGCCAAAGACATGGGGGGCCATCTTGGTGGATTATCGGGAACTACGACCGTCACAGTGAGGCTGAGCGATGTCAACGACAATCCCCCTCACTTTAGAAGAAGTAAGCAGATCAACATTTAACTGTTGGCTACTTTCAATATCTGTCGCTCTAGGATGTAAGTGGATGTGTGAGATATCTAAGGATGAAACATCTTGTCGTGACAGCAGTTTGATATTTTAGCCTCCTTTGGCTCCAAGTCACTTTGACAGATTCAAGATAAGACCTGAAGCCCTAAACGAGCTAAATAGCTTGTAAGTCCACTCCTCTCTGTTTTGTGCACACTTCCTAATCATTGTTTTTAGCATCAGTTGTAATCACATAACCTTTGCCAAGACTACCATTAACGTTGATATAAACACTCCCATTTGGTCCCTGAGGTTTAAATGGATTCTGGCTTGACGTAGAAGAGTGAAAGATCATGTCCACTTTTCTTATCCAAGCTTTTCCCTGTTCCACGATATTAATATTTCATCTTAAAGTTCAGTGCTTTCTGCTTCAATAGACAGTAAAATCACTGCAGAATGTGTCTAACACTTTGAGACACATACTGCATTTTCCCCGTATACTACTTCATCTTTGCTGGCTTTTTCGTCTTCTTCATCTCGCAGACTGTCTATGCTTACCGCTATTCATCTTAATGTTTAAAGCCCCTTCTCCTCACGTTGATAAATTGTTCTGCAATACAATGTTTTATAGAAGCTATTTAATATTTCCAAATGTCAGCAGCCTGTTATTTATTTACTGATATCTGACTACATCTTTCCCCCCCCTTACTGCAACTCATTATTTTCCGTTTGACAATAATGCCACAGTTTACGCAAATGGCTCATTTAGTTTTTGAATGCAAGAGTGGAATATTTAAATCTTCTTCATTATGCGGAGGAATTGAATGATTAACAATCAGCAAGGTAGAGCTGCTTTGATTAAAATGAAAGCATTTCCCTAAATGTGCCACGCAGCATTACGAGATATGTGCAAGTAAAAGAGACCTGCCTCAGATCGCTGTGCCTGCTTTCATGCCTGCTAAAGAGACGCGCACTAATCCTAACTAAACATAACAGAAAAACAAATTAACTCTGTAATTCTCTTTTTAATAAATACAGCTCATTCATAGCAAAGTGGGAAATAACTCTCAGTGAATTTGAGGCTTTAGAGTCTTTTTACTGTGTCTTCATTACTGATGGGATTTATTAGACAAGTGTAGCACCGGGGCTGTTAAACTGCTTTCAGTATCAATTGTGTTGTAGTTTAAAAATGTCAGTTTCCCAGAACCATCAGTAAAATGTTACTGATGGCTCTGGGATGGTTCTTAATTGTGCATCAGTTCAAAGATCTAAGATATTCTTTAGATAGGAAATAAACTTTGCATTCGAGTAGTTTGAGTCATCAAATGTTTAACATTTTTGCCTAATGAAGTCATTCGAGCCATTTTTAAAAATCGGTCAGAAAAGAGAAAATGTCTAAATTGCCGAGCCTAATTCGAACGTCCGTATCAGCGTTGATAGCAAAAGACCGTGCTAGCTGCGCTGACATATTTCCGATACTTGAATGGTTTTTAAAATGGGGAAAACATCAGTCTACAGTTTGTACAAAACACAGCACAAACACTTGAGGTCCAAAATTACTCTGGTTCTGATTCACTACAGATTCTGATTTCAGATTTTACTGATTACTACATGCTACATACTACTCCTAATACCTTATGTCACCCAGAACCCCCTGAACCTTTAAGATCAGAGACTCATTAACTGTTACTGTTAAAAGGGGATGATGCATTCACTTGTTTAGCCCCAAAAGCTGTGGAACAAAGCTCCTCGTACTGATTGCGTGTTTTTCATTGTTTTTTAATTCTATTTTTAAATTAGCCTGGACTAGCCTGTACTAAAGAAGGGACTCGGGATACTTTCATATTTTTTTTGAGTAGAAGTACAGGCACTTTGGTGTAAAGTTTCTCCTGTGTCACCTTTTCTACAGCTCGGCTCAGCAAGCTGAAAATGTAGATTGCCTCTAAGAGAAAATTCCACACTAAATTTCCAGTCGCTTTGAAGATATTCACCTTATTGGATGTGATACAAGCTTTAGTTGAGTCTTGAAATTCATTTTTCCACTGAGAACTATGACTGTCGTGGCCCAGTTCTTACTCTGGAATTGCATAAGTAGGCAATCTGGATCTGTTCATTGATTACAGCAGCCGGTACTTATACTTGCTGAAAATAATGTCAGCGCACCTTTAAATCTGGTCGTGAAATGCGTGTAGAAGTGCATGCTTCGATATCAAAGTGAGCCATCGTCATCAGCATTCAGTTGCAGCACTGAAGCTGTTAAACTCTCTGTTTTCCTCCCTGCAGGTGCGTGGTCCTTCTCTGTATCAGAGCTGGCGGCACCAGGTGTGGAGGTGGGCCGTCTCACTGCCACTGATCCTGACCTGGGAGAAAATGCACAGCTGGAGTTTACCATCCTGGACACTGAGGAGGCTGAAATATTCAACGTAACTGGAAGAGATAAAGAGGCTGTCATTGTGCTGAACAAGGTGAGTGACTGGACGCAGCTGCAGCAGAGGTGTGCGAAGCAGCTTTACTTTATTGCCTATACCAATTTTCATAATAGCTTACTATTTGAAGCCGTAGGTAGGTGTTTATGCTTAAATAGCCACATAATGAGAAAAACATCTCCAATTTGCAACATTTGCGGTGATTAAAAAATGTGCTTTGGTCAGGTATTTGTGAATTAATTTGTTATAAGCAGATAAACACTTCAGCACCCCACTCAAACTCCCACTGTTGCTGATAGGTTCAGACTCCCCGGGCTCCGCTATGAGCAATTAATGAGTAACAGTGAACGAGTAATCAACTGTAGCTCACTTGAAGTGTTAAAAGCAGCCAGTGTGAAGTTGTCTTTTTACTTTTAAGCGTTTTAAAAGCGTTGGACATTCAAACATAATTATTGCACTTTGGAATCTTAGATTAAGAGGTTGCAAGGAGCGTAGTAAGACGAGAGGATGATGATTAATTTCCAAGAAATGTATGAAAGCCAGATAAAAAAATGAAAGTCTAAAATGGAAGTCGTATATTACACTCAGAGATAAATGAATAATGAGGTTTTGCATGTGGGCAGTAATAAACAGCATATATGAGAGCTGTTAAATAAAGAGTAACTGCTTTATTCTTTGTTCAACAGATCCTGGATTATGAAACACGTAATTCGTATACTTTCTCAGTGGAAGTTACAAACCCTATAGTGGATCCCCGATACATAAGAAAAGGTCCCTTTAAGGACCAGGCAACAGTCCGGGTCATGGTCCTTAATGCTGATGAGCCACCGCGATTCTCCCAGGCTCTGTACCATCTGGATGTTTCTGAGAACTGCCCCCCTGTCTGCTCTGTCGGTCGGGTCTACGCCGTGGACCCCGATACAGGACAAAGCACCAACATTAGGTAATTATCACACCGACACTCTCTCATTTAGTCACCTGCTCGCTCACTCAGGGCTCTCTTTGCCCTTCCTATTCTTGATGGTGCCTATTACTTTATCTCAGGTACTCCATCGATCCCCAGTCAGACCCAGAGGCTCTGTTCCGCATCGCCTCTGACACTGGCTTTATCAACACTGTGATGGAGCTGGACCGTGAGCAGGAGCAATGGCATAATATCACTGTCATCGCCACACAGAGGGGTATGTCAGACCTTCTGCCCTCGGGCGCTCTGAGCAGCAGAGCTCACCAAAGTAATCTTTCACTGAAAGCGCTGCCTGCAGTAGGGAATACAAAGTGTGTAGTAAAAATGATAGAAAGTCTGTGCAAATGTTTTAACATTAGTGTCAGTCTCTTGTTTTTTTTCCTTTTTTTTAGACAACCCAAATCTTGTGTCAAGGGTTGTGGTTGCCATAGAGACACTAGACCAGAATGACAATGCGCCGGAGTTGGACAGGCAGTACACGACGTCAGTATGTGACTCCAGTGCCCCCGGTCAGGTCCGTTCTTGTTTTGTTTTTGCCTGTTATTTCATTTAGCTCCAGACTGTGCTCTTGTTTTTGTTCATTCTGTCTCAAACTCCCGCAAGTGATTGTTTTTCAAAGCCTGACCAACTTTCTGTCCCACTTACAGAGGTAGAGACCAGATCACCTTTTTTTTTTTTTTTTTACCTCTCAGATGTTTGGGATCCCTTAGAAAGCAAAGCACATTTGTCTTTTTAAATCCAGTAAAACAAAAAGTGATTAGAGATGTTGTAAATTAAATTCAGGATTAATGAAATAATTCATCATAAATCCTTTAGGATTTTTCACGGCGCATCTCTGTAGGCGTGCAGAGGCCCATTTTTCAGCAACCATCATGTGCTGATCATGGTTGCACAGCTGGAAAGAAGTCGATTTTGGCTAGTCCAGTGTGTGGAGAACCAGCCTGTCTCTGGACTCCTCAGGGGATTTTGTTCTAAGAAATGCTAGCATAATCAATTAGCCTTTTAACATGATAGGCTTGCATTAGGCAACAAAATATGCCTTTGATGGTTGCTGACAGTGGAACTTTGCGATTGCAATGACATTATTATTAGTATGATGAATTATTCCACTAATTATGATTGTCATTTACAACATATCTTATCAGTGTTTAGATAGCACACGTTCACAACAGTCTTCAAGGTTCTCTATGTAGAAAGGTAAAGCACCTTACAATATCACGGGGATGGTCTATGAGCAGCAGTCGGTGACACGGAGAGGAAGAACATTCTTTTAACAGGGATCTCCAGCAGAACCAGGGTCAATAAAGGGGCTGTGGTGTGCTGAGACCAGCTGGGGGTGTTAGGGGGAAGAAGATGGGAGACAAGGATAACATAGAGAGAGCATAAACAACAGACAAGACAAAACACAAACTATCTGAAGAGAAAAAGAAGTTACTTACAAATCAGGATTGAAAAGAGGGAAGTGTAGGAGTGGTCAGTGCATCATGGGAAATCCCCCAGCAGCCTGAACCTGTAGCAGCATAGCTAAGAAATAAGCTATATCAAAAAGGAGCGTTTAAATCTTAAAAGTAGAAAGAGTGTCTGACTCCAAACTGGGAGCTGGTTCCACGGGAACATTTCTGGTAGCTGATTGCTCTGCATCCCATTCTACTTTTAGAAATTCGAAAAGCAACAATTAAGCTTCCAGTCTGAGAGTAAAGCGCTTTATTAGGATAACATGGTACTATTAAGTATTTAAGCTATGATGGGGCCTGATTATTCAGGAGGTTGTTTGGAAGAGGAGCTTTTGTAAAGTAAATGTGAAATTTAACAGGAAGCTAATTAAATATTATGTACGAGTAAAATCACTGTGATTAAAAAAGATAAGCTCAGATGAAACTCACCCTCAAACGTTCGAGTGGTTGAGTGCATTTCCAAATATTATAATAACCGATTCCTATTTTTAATATGGATGACTGGTATTCCTTCAAAGTGGACCTTCATGCTAATTCTGTTGCACGGAATTAGGAAACTTGAAAAAGCAAAGCATTAGTGCGACTTTAAAGCTGTAATTCTTGGTTGGTTGATTTGACAGCTTGTGCAGCAGTGTGTTTTAATAAACAAAGGTCAGTCAGTAACAATTGCAGCTCTGATCTAATTTAATTCTGAACATTTTTTAAACTGATCCGCTGTTATAAGAAATAAATGAGCGGTCAGTTTTTGTTTCCCGTGACTGCTTCATAATTAAAGGCCTCCCTCGTGTTTGCCTGGCTGGTTGCTTTTATAATAAGACAAATAATAAACCTGATTTATTGGGCAGTTACAAAACAATCTTATAAAGTGCTTTTCATGGATGAAGCGCACATTTAAAACAATAGGCTAAATAAAATCAGTCATCCATCCATTCGTTTTCTAATCCAATTGGGGTTGCAGGGCAGTTGAAGCCTATCTCTGCTGACTTTGGGCAAGATGTTGAGCGTGCCCTGGACAAGTAGCCAGTACATCAGAGGGTAACACAGTGAGGCACCAAATACTCCCTCATAGAACCAGGAAACTGTAATGTGTACCTTCAGCAATTTATACCACAATCAGATCACGTCCATCACTCTTTAACATACATACTGATTTAGCTAAAGTTCTCCAAACAAATTAACAAATTTCTATTTTTTCTAAATAAAAATTACGTTGTAACTAAAAAGGAAAGAGACCAACCTGCCTGTTACCAATGCTCATTTCAAAGGCCTGAGTCTTTGATGGTATGCAAGTGCAGCTTGCACATCTGGAAAGACACCACTGATGCTGATGATGGTTTTAGAGCAACATCTGCTCAAATTCACATGACGTCTTTTTCAGGGAAGGCCTCAAAAAAAGACCTTCTCTGTAAAAGATGCCAGAAAGAAAATGCTAAATCATATATTGCATGCAGAGCAGCATGGCTTTGTAGTGGAAGAATCTGGGTGTTGAACTGGGCTGCCTGCAGTCCAGATCTTTTGCCAACTGAAAATATTTTTTGCATCATGAAACAAAAGAAAACCCAGGACTGTTGAGCAGCTAAAATCCTCTATCAGCAAAGTCCAGCAGCTCTTCTCCTCATTTCCCAGACGTTTACAGACTGTTGCTAAAAGAAGAGGGGATGCTACACAGTGGTGAACATTTTATGCTCCTATAAAATTCAAAATAGTCTTTTTTCTTAAAATGCTTCCTTTTTGTTTTTGTGTTCTTGTGTTTTTTGTGAATAAACTGGGAGTTTGTGAGGTTTTGCAAATCATTGCATTCAGATTTTTCTTTTCTTTTAAACATTTTACACAGTTCATTGCAACTGAAAGATAAAGCATGAAGAACTTTTCAGAACATGCACAAAGTCAAATTCTTGCATAGAGTGCAGATATTAAATGGCAATTCAGATGGAGAGCTTTATTCCCTGCTACCATTTAAGTATGAGAAAGTTTCTATGTAAAAGTGCAAACAGGGGGAAAATGTGCATCCGGAGGTTGTAGAGGCTGGACTGGAGTCAGACTCATGCTCCATGAGTTCCACAGTCACCAGTTATCCTGACATGTGTGTAGAGAAAACACACACAGTAGCACATTTGATCCAGAGCCTTCGGGTTACAGTTTACTCCTGTAGCACTGCCTGCAAATAAAATCAGGGATGTAAAAATAATAGAGAGATTTAATATGATGATTCAATACAGCACCATACAGTGAACGTTAACGAACAGCACTAAAATTAAAAACAGTAATGTTGGATCATACGCATCGTTAATTCCTGTAAACCCCCTGTGTCAGACAAACACCATAAACAATAAAAACATCTGTGGAGGTAATTTCAGAATCTAAATTGAATGGTTTTTGCTGCAATAATGAAAACAAGAAAAATTATAAAACTAGAAGTATACGTTTGAATAAGAAATTTTTATTTGATTGATTGTTTCATTTGAACAAATTTAGATGTTTTTGTGAAAGACAGAAATGCTTTTTCAACCTTTAATCATCCTTTGATTTATTTTGTTTCTTCTTAGAGAATTCTAACCTCCTTTGTATTATTAAAACAATGAATTTTCATCTGTGATTTCTTCAGGTGGTTCAGGTTTTACGAGCCATCGACAGAGATCAAGGAGAACAGGACACTTCGGTTCACTTCAGCATCCCTCCAGAGTCCAGCTCTGCCCTCAACCTCTCCATCAGAGAAAGCGGAGGTTGAAAACATTGGCCCTATTTTTATTTTCCGTGCAAAACCCAGAAAACTGACACCAGCCAAAAGTGGTGCATGTTTGTTGTGCAGTGACCGCGTATGATGTGTGTGTGTTTTGTTTTCTTTTAATTTTTTTCTGCCACTTTATCAGGTGTGACAGCCAGCCTGGTGCTGCAGACAGCCTTAGAGCCCCTGCCTGGCTTCTCCTCATCTTTACTCACCCTTTACGTGCCAGTCGTGCTGCGCGACGGGGCCTCGGGTCTAACCAACACTGGCACAGTCACCGTGACTATTTGTCCCTGTTTGCGGGGGGGCATGCAGACTGAGGACAGGGGCAGACAGAGGGACAGGAGATGGGAGAGACACATGGTTTGTCTTCCCGTGCCGTCCGCCTCTCCGTCTCTTATATTCAGTTTGGTGACATTACTGGCCATGCTGGCCTGTGTCACAACTCTTCTGGGTACGGTTGGTCAGTTCTCTAAAGTCTCTGAACTACTTTAAACATTGTGTGTTGTCTGTGACTTTTTTTAAAGACGTTGAGCAGTTGTGTCAGGTTGCTTCTGTAATGTCCAAAGAGTATATGGTCATGTGTCTCTTTTTTTGCCCGTTAGTGGTGTGTGCACTCTCGCTGTCATTGCGCCATCAGAAACGAGACTCCCACTCAACCTTCGAGGAGGATGATGTCAGGGAGAACATCATATCGTATGACGATGAGGGGGGAGGGGAAGCAGATACCGCAGCTTTTGACATTACAGCGCTGCAGAGCATGCACAGAATACAGCACATGCACAACAACCGAACCATGTGAGCTGATCCCAGAAATAAAATAAAAAGTTTATCCTGGCTTGTAGGAAGTGTATGTGTGTGTGCATGTTTAGACATCTTTGTGAGGATAGAAAATTGGCATGCCACTATACTTGTGGGGACCAACAGTCACTTACAGGGAGAAAAGCCACATCTCCACAAGTTTGAAGGCATTTTTGAGGCTCAAAATGTGGTTTTAAGCTAGTTTTAGGGTTAGGCGTTCATTTTTGATGGTTAGGGTCAGGGTAAGCGGCTAAGGAAAGCATTTCTTCAATTAGATGTCCTTACTAAGATATGAAAACGAGTGTTTGTGTGTGTGTCTTTGACTGTGTGCTTCTCTGACATTTATCTCTTGGCGCAGATGGTACACCCAGCAAAATCTGCCAAGGGCCAGGACGTACAGCTGGAGTCGTCACCCACGCCCAGGCCTGGACCCTCAGCAACGTCCGGGCTCCGCTCCGCTCTACGGGCGCTTCTGCTACGGCCTCCACACGCTGCCTGTTCTCAGAGATTATCCAGCCGGGCCACTGGAGGCAGGTCTGCAGCTAACTCAGCTGACCCACGGGCTCACCAGAGGTCATTTCAACAATTCCCTCATCATCCAGAACCAGAACACCTTTGAGCCTGCGCTGCACTCTCCTGAGATGAGCACCAGTAGTTTCGAAGCAGAAGGCATGGCGAAAAGCAAAATTACAGAGCGAAATGAAGGCAGTGAAGCAATCGCAGCTGGCACAAAGGAGAATCAGGATCCAGCTAAGGTCAGATAAGAGTGCTAAAAAAAAAAACATGAAATTTAACAATGGTTGTAACAGTTATATGGATTCAAATAAGGGATTACCAACTTAAATGAAAGTTAATAGCTAACTGTGAAATTATAGACTTGTAGGGGACCCATTCTGCTGTGTGACGCTCATATTAAATATAAACATTATAAGGCTCATGCTTTAAACTGATCTAATGCTCAGTTTTAGACAATTTTATCTATACTTGACTTTGTATGATAGCAGAGAAAGAGAATGCCCTAATATGTTGATATTAGGGCTGCCACAAACGATTATTTTGATAGTCGACTAGTCACCAATTATTTTTGCGATTACGTACAGCTTATTGCACCAGCAGCATCTGCTCTTATATAACTATCATTAGCTTACAGCTTTAAGTGTTTACGGATAGTTTATTAAATTTTAATGAAATTTGCAGATTGTTTCTGTGAAGTTTAATAAACTCCTTGCTATCTAAAATATAACAGGACACCAGAGTATATTCTCGAGCATCTCACACGTCTGATAATCAGTTGTCTGCTTGACGTTTATTCAGCTGTGTAAAAACTATAACTTTAATCTCAGCCAAACCGATTTACTCAGGAACAAATAAAATACAAAAAAAGCCAAACAATAACATTTTGAAGTTATCTAAGTGACTTATATATATTTAACCTGTGTAGCGAAAGATGGCGGTGGGTTTGAAAACGATTGCCGGGAGTCCGTGTTCTCACGCGCTCTAGTAAGCCTTGCTCCCGGCTAGCTATCGAGCTAGTGGGTAACAGACGTCTCCGAGCGCTTTTGAAAATATGTGGTGTCTTGATAAACTGAGCAGATATTTGAGGTTTATACAGCTACATTCTCGCCTGAAAATATGTTAAACGTTTATTTTGTGACCCAGAAAGAATAATAAGAGTAATATTAAAACTAACTAGCTGCCGCCATTGTTGGAAACTGAGCTGGGCTGCGCTATGAATTTCTGGGACACAGCTTCTTCTTCTTCGGGGTTTAACGGCAGCTGGCATCCTTGTACATGCAGTGCTGCCATCTTCTGTTTCAGTCCGTTATTACACGCTTAAATCCTACTACTTCCTTCGTCTTTTGGGATCTTACAAAGCTTCAAACGACGCGTCGACTATTAAATCAGTCGTCGACGATTTTGATAGTCGACGTAATCGTGACTAGTCAACTAATCGTGGCAGCCCTAGTTGATATTCTGTTTGCAAAGGGTAGCCAATCAGAAGAAAGCTGGCTAAAGAGTTTAAAAGAGTGGGTAATCTGAGGGCCCAGTAAAAGACTAGTAGATACATTTAAGAATTATTTTAAACTGTGAATCAGTGAATGATTATGTGATGTTTAAGTGTCCCTTTATGATTATATCAGAAAGATCTTATTTTTGGCGTGCGAGTCTGAGACTGCACAGCCTGTTCAAAATAAAAAATAAATAAAACCTTTGGAAACTAACATTTTTAAAGTTTTTAGAGTCACGCAACCAGTCTTTCAAGATACTGCTCAGATCAAACGTCTCAAAACCACATACTGCACATAGATGAACTGATGTCAGAACAATCAATTCAGGGGTGTTTCAAGTCCAGAATTAAATATTTAGTGGTGTTTACTGGAAGAAAGTTGAAAAAAGTCACTCCTTTGATTCCATACGTTTCTCTCTTCGTGTCTTTTTAAATCATCTCCTTGTTTTTCCAGACAAAATCAACAGAACCAGAGTCGACACCGATCACCAGCATGGCTGCAGATTCGACCTACTGTGACCCAAATGAGTCTTCATGCCAAAGTCACACCAGCTTCTCATCAAACCAACAAGAGGGGCGACCGGGGTCATCCCAGACTCAAATCAGCACTGGAGCCACGAGCTGCACCGTAGATGACATTGATACTGATTCTTCTATTCCCTCCATTTCCGAGCAAAATTATTCAAACAGCAGTCAAATGAGCTCTGTAAACACTCCTGTGTACCTGAAAGGAGACACATACAGCATTGTGGGCTCGCTGAACCCAAACAGCCGAGGGACGTGTATGAACGGGACTAACAGCAGCGGGCTGTACCCAGCGGGAGTGCAGCTACTGAACATGTGTGGACTCCAGGGAAAGGATTTGACCCCACAGTCTTTGCCCTTACCTGAGGGGATGTTTGGCAACAGCAGAGGGTGGGCAAGTGGGGCGGAGCCGGCGAGAACAGAAACGACCAACCCGCAGCCTCTCAGGATGGAGGAGCTCTTGAATATTCGTCTGGACCAGGTCACCTTTGACCTGTCACAGCCACCATATGACTCACTGCAGACTTACGAGTTTGAGGGCCGTGATTCAAGGGCCGAGTCGCTGAGTTCACTGGAGAGCGATGGAGAAAAGGATGAGGGGAGTGTGGTGGGAGGGATAGAGGAGCTAAACCAGAAGTTTCAGAGGCTGGTGGAGATTATCCGAGAGAGGAAGAGGGAAAAGGAAGGAGAAGGAGAAACGCCAGCGCCAGAGCGAGGCAAGACAGCAGAGACCACCCTCAGTGAGACTCATAAACAAAGTGAGGACAAAGGAGCTAAACTACAGAGATGGGATTTCTAGACTCCAATAAAAGAAAAGTTTCAGAGAGGAGAACTATGTTGGAAGTGATGGATTTTAAACACAGCAGGGGTGGCAAAATACACAGCCTCTGACAGAGATCGTCTTGTTGTTTGCCCCCTGCCAGGAGGGATCCAGGAGGCTGACAGTACAGTGAAGATTTGTGGCGCAATCAGTGCACAGCATATAGTTTTCACCTCCACTGAATTTTAGCAAATGCATATGGAACCTGTCACTTTTCACACTTCTCTTGTAACTGATATTAATAATGCACTTGGGCTTTCAAAGCTAACATTATGAAAAATTTACTTTTATGTAAAATATTGATTCTAAGCCCTGAAAGCTGCATTGTTAGAAAATAGGCCTCATCAAATATTGACTAGAATTGTGACATTTAATATGGATCGTTTAATAGGGCCACGCGCTCTAGATAATCCCTGAAATTTATAAGCATTTGGTTTGAATTGGAGAATTTTAAAACACGAGAATTTTAAACATGCCACGACACACACACTGCCGCATGTTTACAGAGCCTCTCCAATGAGTCTAGTTGTATCATGTAGCTCTGCAGAGAGACTCCTGCAAGTAGTCACCATTATAGTAAAACCTGCTCACTATGCAATTTGCTCACAATTAGAAATAATTAGACTGTCACTGTCAGACTTGTGTGTTGTTGTGAAAGTACAGTAAAAAAATGTTCATATGTAGATAAACATCAACCTCGACTTCAGTGATTATTGCTGGATATTTACTGGAATGGCCACACGGGAAATGCAAAGGACTGATTTTCAGTTAAACTGTTGCAGACACGAGCTTACACTATACAATTCCCCGTAATTTCTCCCACGCAAGATTATTTATAATTCACCATTGTGTTTGGCCGTCTAGAATTATCTCCAGAGGCTTATTTATCTCCCACCTTTTAAAGAGACAAAATTAGGCAAAAGCCATTATGCGACACAGTACACACAGCCATTGTTCTTGTGATGAGCCCAGAACACAGGCAACAGAAAAATAATCATTTACTTTGAGATTTGGTAATGTTATTCAGGCAGTTTGTCATTCTGACAATGACTCATTTCTATAGCTATTTCAAACCTAATTTATTATTCAGGGGACATCAGAATGAGTTATTAAAATAACATTATTTTCTATAACATCATAAAGCAATTTTTACTTTCTTCAGTTTTTCCCCTGTCCTGGCTTCCTCTGTAGTGGGAATTTAGGTCTTAATCAGCCTCGGTTTTAATAAGATTGGATTGCTTTTCGAATTAAATTTGACAGAAAACCTTTGGCTTTCTGACAAGGAAAAAAAAAAGAGGCAAGACAATGAAATGCAGAATAAAAGAAACGGGCCAGATGATAAATCGCCATCACCACACAGCATATTATCAGGATGCTGCGCATCGTCTGGCATGGTACTGCCAGATATTGCTGTAGCAATGACACGTTTCCTCCCAGATCACAAGAACGCACTGAATCTAATAATCAACTAAATATAGACACAAGTTAGAATGAGAAAGTCGAGCTGTGCTATCACTTCAAAAGTAGTCAGACAAAAATAAAATAACAGTAAATTAAAATATGTTTGAAATTCAAATGCTTTAAAGGTACATTTATGCACACTTTAAGGGATGCTGAGAAAAGTGCTGTGAAGACCCCAGCGTTGGGCCAGGAAACAATATCTGACAGTACAACGGTGCCACCTAAAGTTAAAACACAAGGACTGCAGCTGGAAAATTACAAAGGAAAAGCTGGAAATAGTTACTGATAATTAAGAAGAAGAAAATGACAGTTCTCTTGTTTTTTAGAGCTTAAAATTCATAAAATTCAAAACACACTTCAACTAGAAGAAACGAAAGAGACTTAATGCTGTTTAATTTTTTTATCCTCCCACACTTAGATTATATTTTCTAATAAAATAGAAAAGCTTATTTTAAAAAAAGAAAGGTAACTATGTCATACTTCAGGTCATAAAGGTTAATTTTACCATAGCAACTAGACCCGGATAAAAGTATGTGTCGGTAACTTATGCTTCATTGAAAATTCATAAATCCCTTGTATGCTGCAATTGCTAAATGGCACCACGAGATGGCGCCACTTTCCTTGTAGTTGCGTTAAATTCTGGTTGAAAACTGTAAATTTAGGTCGATGTGATTATTGCTTCTATGATTTTTTGTGGGGACTAAAAAGCCATCTCTTAGCTGATACTGGAGAAACCAGTGAAATGTGGCTAGTTTTCTGGTTTGTTTGTTTATTTAATGTTGTGAGGTTGCAGGGCATCTTCTGATTATTTCAGGTCCCTCGGGTTATTGGTTATGTCCATTTTCCAAGTCTGGTTTTAAGTATTGTCTTGGGAGGGATATCTCAAGAACATTTCTCGAGATGTGGTCTTTTACGATGGCCGTGTTGCCTGAGCCTCCGTCCTCTGTGTTAAGTATGATATAGCTGCTCATCTGTGCAAACCAGTTTGAATAAATACAGCACCCATCAAACTCAAACCATTCGAACTGTTCTCATAATGGCTCACGCGGTGACCTTTTAGCACAGAAAAACCTTAATGCTTGTAAACACCCTAAAAATTGTTCCCATGAATCATGGGGGGAAAACAATTTTTACAAAAAGGAAGAGTAATCCTTTACCCTGGTGGAACCATCTGGAACTCAATATATGAGGGATGCTAAGGGTCAAAAACAAAGAGAAAACCCTCTGTGTTTTAAGGATGGCGCCTATAACCTTAGTGCACAGCTTGACATGGATTTTAAGAGTAAGAATACCAAACGGAGAAAGTGAAAAGGCCAGGTCAATAAAATGAGGAATCAGAAATTTTCATCACTGTCATGGCTGCATATAAAGTTCTGTATTTGCTTTTTTTTTTTTTTTTTTTTTAAACTGTTTGCCCTTTTACATATAGCATATAGCATGTTTCCTCCAGAACAATGGCCACAGCATTGCTGCTATGGGTCCTCCTAAAAAGAATCTGCAAACATCCCTTTGGTCACATTATTGATTAACAAATGGGTCCAGTGTGTCTGGAAAGTTAACTGAAGTTTCTAGAAAGTCAGCCTGCATACATATAAATAGAAATATCTTCAGTTTAGTCAGATTATTTATCTGTATAATTTTATTCAACGTCAAAAACAGATTTGGAAAAGTTACCACAACCCTTAGAGCCATATGAATGTTTAATAAACTCTAATTATTCTGTAAATTAGAATACCATCAACTGGAATTATTTCTGAGTTAGTCACTAAGTCAAAGTATCCTTGGGCAAGTTACTGAACACCAAGTTGCTCTCAAAGAGTTCATTTGAGTGTGAATATTAGATAGAAACCACTCAGGCATGAAAAAAGTGTTTCTGTGAATGGATGAATGAGGCAAGTTGAACAAAGTGCTTTGAGTGCTCAAGCAGAGTAGAACAGCTCTATATAAGAACCACGTCATTTACTTTTTACCACATGTTAATAGAAGTGCCTATTTAGTGGTGTTATTGCCCCTCTCTAAAGACAGACATCCATAAATGTTACCACTGTGGCATCAAAACTGCATTTACGAAACCAAATATCAAATGTGATTTTTTAAAAATGTTCAAATGTTTGGTGAATTTGCACCAGATAAGCTATAAAGTTCTTTTTTTCACCATCAGCATTAAGACTTTATTAGTCTTAATCCGGTAAGTGCCAACAAATTCATCATCTCTGCTGATCCCATGAGAGCACCGAGCGAATGCAGCTGCATGCAAGCTACAATTTCATTAACAAGTGGATTTACCTGCCAGCACAGAGCTGTCAAGCGCTACTGAATCAATGCTGCATCGTGATTGGCTCGTATGTTTCTAGGTTTAGCTGTTGATTGGCTCTTTGGTGAGAGGGGTGGGATATTCAACATCTTTACAGAACTCCAAGAACCCTGAAGAAAAATCTATAGAGTGTCACGTCGCTGTCTTTAATAATGTCTTTTATGTTACTCAGAAATACCAGTAATATGACCAAACTCTTTACCAGAATTACTGGTAACAGTTTACTGCCTGTGAAAGGTCACCAGTGTTAAATCGTTTGAGGGAAATGCCCTGTTACTTTTCTCCAAATGCTCTGCAGGGAGGCAGAATACAGCAAGTCAAACATTGCAGTTTAAACACCTGTTCGCACATAATCTTGAAATTTTGTACCAACACTGAGTGCAGATAAGGAACCGTGAGTGGTTTAACAGAGGATTTTATTAAATTCCTTCAAAGGTAATCATAAAGCCAGGCCTCCTAGACTTACAAAGGTAGGAATGAGCCTTCTTCATAAATGGGACCATTTGACTGGTTGTAAATGGTTAGTATATAGACCACACTTTGGCAAAATATCTTAACACAACCTGTCATACAGAGATCTTTGATAAATCATCCTTCAACACTTTGGTTGAGGAAAAAAAACACATTTATATGTAAAACGGCAGTTAAATAGTGTGAAACACTGGATTTGTTTAAGGCAGCCTGTGATTATTGTATTGAAAGGCCCAGCAAATTCACATGTCAAAACTGAAATGAATTACATTAGAAACTTTAAAGAAAATCACATTATTTTTCACACTGTTGCACGTCAGTTTTTTTTATAAGAGCACTTTACATCTGCGTGAATCGCTCATCGTCCGAGAACGTCGAGTTATAAATGCCATCATTTGCACCGTTTTCAGCCGTTTTCACCCCCGTCTCTTCGTCGCTGTCCTCGTCATCTGCATCCATGTTTTTCTTCCTACGAAAAGAATGAGCAGATCAAATGAAGCTCAGTTATCATATTTTCAAAAAGCTAAAT